TCTTAATAATCCGCTATGATTTGGAAATCAAAACTTTCAGTGATGGTGTCATCATGAACTTGGTTCATAGTAAAAGTTGTCATAATGAATACGAAATTTAGGAATCTAAATCCGAAAAAACATAGGAGTGAACCAGCATCTGATTTCTCCTTACAGTAATACTGCAGAGTCATTCATTAAAATCATGAAAATAAAGTGATTAAACTTAAAATGATTAACTCAAAGAAGTCTTTCTCCAATGAAATTCTGTGCCTACTAGATATCCCTTTAAGATGACTTTGATAGCTGGCAATGCATAGAAGTCAACCCTTCAACACCCAAGATCTGATTGTTAATTCTCTCCTCTAGATACTACACATTTCCTTGTAAATTGGTTGCAAGAATTTGGTGTTCAATCAAGATAATACTTTATTCCTGATAAGTTTGAATAATCTCACTACCTGTTTGCTGGATAATGTATGGATATCATAGAGAGAAGTTACATGTTGATCACTTCTGGAAGTTAAAGGGTTAAGACAATGGCAGCAAATGCTATTGGATCAACATTGACTATGTTGCATATGACGTGAATCTGATGAAGTCAGTACCACAAAATAACAATATCATCTATTATGATTATTGTTTATTATTTATCATCCTGGCTTTGTTTCTTAGCCAGCTGAATAGTACAAATACTAGTAAAAAATATAGAATAACTGATTTTAAAATGCTGAAATGTCACAGGAAAACATACTACTTACTTAAATCAGAATATTTTCATGATGCACTTTTATATTTTTAGAAAATCTTAACCCTTTAAGTCCCACTAGTGACTTAGACAAAATTTCTCCTTACAATATTGGTACAATATCAAGCAGACAAGTCATTAGAATAAATAAAAATATAAATTAGGGGATCATTGGTTGATTCAGTTCCAACTTCTCCAAACTAACATCATATGGATTGTATGACAGACAGTAATGAGAATTACTTATGATATCTTGGGGAGTTAACAGGTTATATCATGGTAAAGTCACACATGCAAATGAATTGAAATCAGACCTTTCTCCCAAGGCCATTTTCATTGGTTTGAACAAACAGTTCAGTTGGTAATTTTAGAAATTTATTGTCTTCCTTATTTTTTGTTTAGCATGATTAAGATATTGTAATCTTTAGAGTTTTGGGGGTTACAAAGAAGTATGGGTTACTCTTGGTTAAACCTCGAGCCACTTTTACTCTTCATTTGCCCTTTTTCAGGCTCTCTACTGTTATCATGCATGTGGATCAGTGATAGAATTGAAATAATGGATTATAAATTAATATATTTAGTGGTAAAGTTTAGGAGTTCCTTAATCACAATTCTTCTTTGTAAGAGTTGAATATATCGGATTTTTCTTATAATGTTGTTTGGTAATACGTAATCTTTTTTTGAACCATTATTTCATGAATTCTTTTTATTTAATTATTTATTTATTTTTCAATTTTTGTGCAGTTGGTTTCATGGCAAAATCACAAGAGCAAAATCAGAAGAATTGCTGATGAGTCAGAAGCATGATGGAGCTTTTCTCATCAGAGAAAGCGAAAGTACACCAGGTAAAGAATCTCTTTTCCTGAGTGTGTGTGATTTATCCCAATAATCTTGCCTCTTTTTTAGCATTTGGGTTTACATGCTTGGATTTCAGATCTTTGTTACTTGACAATAGCTTCAACTATTCACCAAAGTGGAGGTGAAAATTGGTGAATATGAAAATATCAACCACTTTCAATGACACTGAGGTGGATAATTGTTTTAGCATACTCCATACAGATACCAAAAAATTTGTTGTCTTCTTTTGATGTACGGAAAAATGATTGGAAATTATACACTTCTGACACATGATTTTGTCTCATTGGCTGCTTAGAGGTGGACAGTACTTTCTATTCACTTTTGAACTAGCCAATTGGCATGCACAAAACGCTATTCACCTGTGTGATATATAATAAAATTAATTAATAGAGTAAAATACTGGATGGATTATAGCCAGCCAAAATACATACTAAGTGAACCCTTTAATTCCAAAAAATGATCACCCAACATGTAACTTCTCCTTGTAATGACCATACATTATTCACCTAACCTGTAATGAGAATACTCAAACTTATCACATAGAAGTTGTTATCTTCATCTGACACCAAATTCTTGAAACTAATTTACCAGGAAATGTGTAGCAGCTAAAGACTAAATTAGCAATCAGGTCTTGGGAGTTGAAGACCAAAACAGTACTGATTATTCTGACAGCAAACATCAGCAGAGCTAATGCAAATATTTTGTTTCTTTTGATTACAGGAGATTTTTCATTGTCTGTGAGGTGAGGGTGTGTTGTGATTTAATATCTAAATCAGTTCATGTGTGTAAATTGAATTTATGTTCAAAATAGTGTCAAGCACCAAACAGCGTTTATATTTACTTTTCCTCTAGAAGAACCATGTTTACAAAAAAGGGTTCTTTATTTTATGGAAAAGCTCAGTTTTGATTACATGTTAGATCACTGATTTAAAAGATGGTATAGGGTTGAAAACATAGAAAATTCTGAATGCTCCTTACAGGAGTTGAATATCAATTGCAAACTTATTTTTGTTATTAATAAATTGTGCACTTTTGTTTGCTTTCCCCTTGATACAGATTTGGTGATGGTGTACAACACTTCAAAGTCTTGCGTGATGGGGCTTGCAAGTACTTCTTGTGGGTTGTTAAGTTTAACTCATTGAACCAGTTGGTTGATTATCATCGCACGTCCTCAGTCAGCAGATCACAAACTATATACCTAAGAGACATGGCAGATGAGGCTGCTGCACCGGTAAGAGTTACATTATGATAACAGTTTAGTTACTGCATTGGGAGCAAATTTTGCTGGAGCTTAATTTTATTAGAGTTGATTGAAATATCTGTTTTAAACAAGTGTTTGCACTGTTCTTTTGGTAGATAGATATTTGCAGTGAGTTCAGATAAAAATAATGCAACTTGACACTAGATTTGTCAGTAAAGTTTGTTGTTCAAACTTAAGGAAGTAAAGTTTTTTGCTGGTTTCTTTCCATTGGGACATATTTTTACATTTCAGGGACTATTACTTGAATCTGTAAGAATTAAACCCTGTAATGTACTCATATTTTACTCTCAGGCAGTAGCTGCCATTTTTCACTGAATAATTTGCTAAATTCATATGCTCATTTGAATCGAAATATTCCCCCTCTATTTGAACCTAGAGATATAAGAAATACCTTACTAACCTTGTTTTCTCTGAACATACTGTAAGTTGCAGAACCATGTTTTTGCACTCAGATTTATGGCTGGTGCACTTAGTGATTGAGTCATAAATCCAGCTGGAAAAACTTGGTCTGTAACTAACAGTACAGAACTCAAACTGGGTTTGTAAGAGGTATTTATTACCACTTAAAATTGCTTGGAATTCTTGAAAATTCAACAGGTAAAAGGATTGCTCTTACTACTGGTTTGAAAATTTATTTTACCTGTTGCACTGAAGTAAGGGGCAACCTGGGCACTGTCTAATTGTCAGGGAAACTTGATAAGATGAAAAAAAGGGAGGAAAAAAGGGGAAATGGCTTGTTCATTGTACAGACTGATTTTACTGATTTAATACCAACAAAAGGTGAATTTTTACTCTCAAATAACAGTATTTCTAATTTCTAATATTTTTCAATGAACAGGAGCAAGATACATATGTCGCTGCTTATGAATTCCGACCAGAAGAAGAGGGAGAGTTGTACTTTAAACGTGGGGATTCTATATTGGTTCTTGATAAAGAAGATGCTAATTGGTGGAAAGGCAGAAACGTAGCAACGGGGAGTGAAGGGCTGTTCCCAGCTACTTATGTGCAAAAGAAGTCTTAAAATTCAATTTTCACTCTGAAGAAGTATGCCATTTCATATGACCGTTAATACATTAATCTGAGTGGTATCATTTGATGTTTTGGAGTGAAAGTTTCTGAAAATAGAAGCACTGAAATTGCTGAATTACCCACGCAAAAAAAAAGCAACACAGGAAACTTGTATTGAATTTCTCTCTTTGTACAATTTTTTTCTTTTCTGCTAATACAAACAATAGTCAAAGAGTATATTTTAAACAGATAGGTGAAATACTGAATGTTTTGTTTTCCTTTGTTATATCAATTGATTCAGAGGATGCAGACAGCTATGTACATTTTTGCCATTAAATCAAACAATAATGATTATTAATAATATGCAGTCTAGGTTAAGAGAGTAAATTTTGCCCTTCCACTCCTCTCAAGATGATTACATTTCTAAGCAGAAAGTTGATGAGGAAATCCTCAAGGCTAAAATTGTGAGACATGTGGCTCAAAGTTAGGGGAATCAACATTAAGAGGGTCTACAAATCCTAGCCTGTTACCCCTTTAACTCCCAAAAGTGATTGACATAAAACTTCTTCCTACAATATCCATACATTCTTCAGCAAACAGGTAATGAGAATATTCAAACTTATCGGGTAGAAGCTGCTATCTTGATCTAGCACCAAGTTCTCATGACTAATTTACAAGGAAATGTGTAGCAGCTACAGGGGAGAACTAACAATCAGATCTTGGGAGTTAAAGGGTTAAGAGACTGTCAAGGCAAGGATCAATCAAAAATGAGTGGGGAAGGGTAGGCTTACTCCCCTTTTCCTACCCTTCCCCCTCTTTGGCTGTATGACAAACAGCCAGTTCCTTCTCATCTCTTCCAACAGGAACCTGTTCATAGGCTAGACAATAACATGCTCATTATGATTGCAAACATAGTTGAATGTGACTTAATGTTTATAAAGATATTTGGAAGAAGAGATACAACTTAAGTGGAGTAGAGCATGATTGTGTGGATGCTGGTGTGATGTCAATGTTGTGTAAATCTCTTTACTGAATCAAAGAACACAAGTCTTTGCAGTGCATCTATTTCACTTCATTAAAGAGTTTGGATTTTAACACATGCATCTAACATACCTCATGAAAGAGCTAGGTCACTAATTTGTACTGATAAACATATCTTTTGATTACTTTTACAACATGTTGCAGGTCCAATATGCTTTTAACTGGGTTTGAAGATCTGGGCCACTTTTTCATGTTCTAAGTAAGACCTGTGGGGAACTTTTTCCTGCATATGTTAGGGTATGGTTTTTTGGAGACAATTGATACCCATAAGAGACCTAGATTCCTCTTTGGCTGAGAAAGTTCTGTAAATAAAAACTCCTTGATCTCTTGTATTTTTAAATTGTAAACGTAACTAGATAATTAAATACCAGTCATTGTAGTCGCCCCTGTTAGAGGGTCAGGTTGGGGGGGGGGGGATGTTTCTGTGGGCCATCCTTTCCTGCTGTTCATTTGATTGCAATATTATATTCCTCTCTCTCTCACCACTGATCTAATCAATTACTTTATCCCCATAAAGCATGGAAGAAGTTCCTCTATGGAGGCTTGGGTCATGTTTCTCCCAGCTTTACCAGCAATAGAATAATCAAAATTGCTTTTTGGGAGCTTAATTTAATATATCATATGTATGTATTCAATCAATGCTATTGTTTGTCGACAAGAATTTATGCATTATAGTTTTCCAGCATGAAGTTGTAATGAACAAGATTGTAGTGAGTCTAAACTTGTCAGGAATTGTTTGGGTGTCACCTAGATTTATTTTTCTCAGTTTTTGTTTACCGCACACGTCTTTTTTTTTTTTTTAAGAATAAGGTCCTGTGAGAAAACTTCAGGGTTGATAGAATGCATATAATGTAGAACTCCATATTTGTAACAAGATTTAAATGATTTACCACAATAGAAACATTTTTTAATGGCAATGCATATAGTAATAAAGAAATAATTTTCTGGTAAATGTTGTCAGGTGCCATTTCATTCCTACTTCTTCTACCTTGGGAGCAGGCTCACATTATTAGCGCTTCGGAAAGAGCATTTCTTCGGAACAAGCATCTCTTGAGAACGAGCATTTCTGCGCCCGCGGTATGAGGCCTCAAGCAACGCAAGTCAATAAGAAGTCTGTAAGGGGTCTAGCACTGATGTTAGTCCCATACCCCCAGCAAACTTCTTCCTGACTAGTCTCAAATCTTCCCGCGGTAAAGGAACGCGCGTCCCTCATCATCAATAACCAAGGTCTCCTTGAAAGCTATACTGAATATATTTACCATAGAAGCCGCAGTGCTTATGTCAAGACCCTCTCTTATTACAAAGAAAACAGAGACAAAGGGAGGGCCTGACGAACAGTGCCGAGTCACCATTGACTTCCTGAATAACCAGTTCCTTCAGTGATAATGGCTAACTGTACCACTAATTGCTTTTGACTTAGAGCTCGCTTCGATTAAGTATCACGAAACAGAACCTAAGGCAGTCACAAAGGCTAATCAAGACAAAGGTAAAACTAAGAACTTTTGCGACAACAGCAACTTGAATGATCGTTCGAAAGGGTGGCACAAGCTTTCCAGGTGAATCCTGGAGAAAAAGAAAGCAAAGCCAGCACCATCTCTAATTTCCTCCGACAGTCATAAGAAATTCCCCTTGTAAGAGCGGATTTGTCTTTATCGTGATGGTTTTATTAATTTACGTCCTTTGAACCTCTCTTCCTGCACAGAAAACGAAGGTTCTTTTAAGGGTGTGAGTGGAAGAGAAGATCCTGGGTACGAATTTGAGCACGCGCTAATTTCCAAGAAGTCATTATGACGTCATTTTCTGCGAGATAGACAAAAACCCAAAGGATGAAGAGTCGATGTAGAAGGCGACTGGTAGCACTTTTTACTTGCTTTCTTGGCCTCTCGCTGATCTTCCCTTGTGCTGGTTTAAAATCTAAACGCAAGAAATTGGTAAGTGTATTATGCACAATTTGAAGATGTATTGGATGACACAGGTATACTCCTTCAAAGTCCGATATTTTGGTAGATCATTCTTGTGAGGTCAAAGTAGGACAGTCAGTTGTGTAGCTAACGAAAATAAAAGTGCTATTACCGCGCAAATCCCAAGTGAAACGCAGAAAAACCAAACAATGATCCAGAATTGCATTCGCTTGGCTTAACAACATCCTAAGATTTGTTAAAAAGCTGGCGCAATTTTCTCGACCAATCACAAAGCTTGAGCCAATCAAGACTTTGTCGCTACTAGCGCATTTCCGCGATCAAGGAAAATTTACAAAATGCGTATCTTTTAAGTTCTTATGAGCTCTTGTTTGAATTTTTCTTTTTGTATGTGATAAGCCACTGTGGTTACTCCATTTTGCTAAAAAAGCGCTCTTATCGGACGCCTGAAACAACAAAACAACCGCACTACTGTATTGATATTCAAGCTACGTACCCTTTGTCGACGGGCAACTATCACACAAACAACTAATAAGCGACACAAAACCACACGAAACACAAAATCGTTATCTAAACAATTGATCGAAAAAACGGAAAGAAAATTTTTTTAAACAACAAAGCGATAACTAAACTTAATGCATTACTTCTGACTTTTGATCAGCAGCGACGCTCAATATCGGAAAACATCAAAAGTTGCAAACATTGGAAGTTCGAGACCACAGAAGACCCACACTTTGCCGATATCAGTGTGAAGCTACATAATGCGGTGAGATACAATTCCGAGTATCAAGGAAGTCTGCAAACTCGTCCCAATTTTCAAATACCATACGCTAATTTACAAATATCAGGAAAATGTTGACCTTAACTTAACGCCCCTCCCTCCCTCCCACGGATTTTAACTTTCTACTGAAAATTTGAATGTCACATTGCAACAATTTCCTACACAAGATATAGAAGACTTGATATAAAACTTGTTTCATTTGTTCTACGTTTAAAATCGACCAGCAAATCACGCAATATATCTTACCATAAACTTATCTGTCGCTCTTAACCAGGCTCCTTCGACAAAAAAGATGTCTGTAGCCTTACAATGTGCGGCAATGAAAAAACTACAGGAGCCGAAGTCAGCCTTTACGGTTCCAGCGGTAAGATTCCCACGGTTTTATTGCTTTTTTCCGGGCAAAAACTAAATTCAGTATTTTTTCGCTGTTAGCTACCGCTTCTTCCCTATTGGCACTCGACCCTGTACACCCAAACATCATCATGCATATTCAACATAGTATTCTCTATACATTTCCTGAGGTGCTTACGTGGAGAATTTGTTCAACAATCAAGAACGTCTTTAGTTGGTGATCATTTCCTTTATTCCTGTGACCTTACTGTTTGATGCAGGGGTGATATTGTAAGGAGAAATTGGATGCTAGTCACTCTAAGGGGTTAAAGCGTTAAGATGTAAAGTTCATTTACTGACGTGGATTTAAAAGAAAGTGAATTGTTTGTTTTGACCTTAAAGGGCCTTGGTCCAACTTTCCCGTAATAATAAGCTATAATTATCAGCCGTGACGTGGCAGTGGCTTATTGGCCTACTCTCTGGTTGGGAGGGGACTGGACTCCCATGCTCTTTACTCTTTCCTTTCGAAGAAATATGTGGGTGCCGGCGATGGCAATAAATGGTTAGGAAAACTGACCATGGTGTCGTGAGTATAGGACGCAGCATACAGTATATTTCATAGACTATGTGCCATCTTCATGGCTAAAGTCATGGGGTCTGCCACGCAGCAAGACAAAAAAAAGACTTTATTTAATTCGAAATCTGCGCTCGAAGAGCTTGCGATTTTTGCAGTCCTTGCTGCGATCCTGGCTTAGTATAAAAAATATCTTTCGTTTTCAAATTTCAAGCAACAACTTTTCTCTTCTTCTCTCCCCTTTGTATTATTTTCGTATTCACGCGCGGCGCACGTGATTTCACAAATAAGCCAATCACTTCAACTCCAACCTTGACATTGGAAAACTGGCGAGGACATTTTTCGCTTACTTTTCATTTTGTTTTCGCGGAGTTTTAGTAAGTTGTTTTTTGAGCATTCGTTTGCACAAAATAGTTACCCTTTTGTTCGAAATTTTATGAAGTTTCGGAGTTCTTATTTTAGCCAAATGCGATTCATTTAACAAGTGTAATACATATTTTCTACGGAGATTGGACTTAAGCCTCTTCTTTCGTAAATAGATTTTTTACACTTAGCCTGACAAAGACACCAGTCTCTTCTAAAAAAACTTCCAATCTTTTGATCCACGAGCCTGTAAGCAAAAAAAGCAGTCCTGAACGTTGTAATAACATTTTATTCATTTCACAGCGCCAGACACACCGTTTTGCCTTTAGGATCGCTGTTGCATCTAAGTACCACCACAAGGACCGAACCGTGCATAAACATACATGTAAACTGTCTACATGGACTAATGATGAACACAGTCTTGTCACTTGCGAAATAAAAGTCAGCGTTTGGCCAAATGGGATGTTTTACTACAAATGCTCATCGTGTAAGTGCGTAGAAATGCTCTGTAATCTCTAATTGGTAAAAAATTAGTCAGCGCATTTCAAAAATTGCGGCAGTTGTCTGGTCGTTACCCTCGGATTGGGCTGTTTTAACACAAAATACGACCACAAGTCAGAGTGTCGCGCTCTCTGAAAGAGACTGAAACCAGCAACCTCCCGCGCACGTCTTCAGGCTGAATGACGTGGATTGTGTATTTTATCTTCCTGTTGAAGAAACAAGACAAAGTAAAAGTCGAAACTAAGATTCTGAAAAAAAATCGACGAAAACC